ATGATGTCTGGAATTTTATCAAATTATTTTAAGGCCAACGTTGATATTCTACTGCCAACGTTTTTAAATACAAGACTCAGCTGGGGAGACCCTAGGTCAGGGTAAATGGAGGATTTTTAAAATCAAAATGTAGATCAAGAACATCAATTTTGGAATCTGTTCTTTCCTATAACCGAAATATTTTATTATACTTCATATATTCAGATGGCACCAGTAATAACCATCTTTCTCCCCTCACTGGTAGAACAGAGATTCTTTGAGGGTGTGATGAAAATGTTATTTCAAGGCTCAACTACATGCAAAAAAAGTGTTTTATGAAATGATACTAATAGCACTAGGAACAGCTGGGATACTTGGTCCACCTTACTTGATACCAAAAGTTCAGTCATTAAAAACTGTAGTGATAATGAAACCCCAGAAGTGTTCAAGTGATGGAAAAAAAAAAAAAAAATGGCCACAGCTCAAAGCTTTTGTCTTGCAATCCCAGGAATTTATTGGCAGTTTATTAATAGTTACCTTTCTCTGCACCTTAAAGGACATCAGTATCCACCTCAAGACTGACTTCACGGATGGAAGTAGGCCAAAGGGCTGATCCTAAACGTCACTACCAGGAACCTTATGGGCCTCTCAGTCTGCCCTTTCTTCAAGGCGCTCCAAGTTAACTGCTTGAACAGTCAGACCCATGAGGTAGTTTCTTTTATTCATTCTTTTCAGCCTACGTGATATGAAGTAACATTATTTATATGGGTAAATAGTGCAGACAGTGATTAGCAGCCTGTCCCTACATGCAGTTAACAGAGGTACTTATGGTATCCAGAGTTCCCAGGGGTTCCCACGCCGCTGAATCCTGTTCTGGATAATGAATCTGCAGGGAATTGCATGACTGAAAAGCAGTGGCTTATTGTCAAAGAAGGCTACTTCAGCAGGGTCTTCACAGAAGCTACAGACCATGTAAATATATGGCAGATTCCTAAAAATGACACTATTCCCCTGGGTACTCAGATAGTATTGGTGTGTAACGCCAGCAGCTAACTTCAGGCCTCACAGGCAAAATGTCTGTTCCTGTCTCCTACTGAATCCTCTATGTTACCCATTCCCCACTCACATTCAAACCCAGAAAATCTTTAACCCTGTTAATTTTCCAGCAAAAATGGTCAGTTATCACTGATGTTTATTTTTAGCAAGGATGTGAAATAAGAAGTGCCTAGAGAATTGGCAGATTACATGAGCTATTGATGGAGGTGGTGGTTGAGTGGGAAGCTCTTGGGCTGGCTGACAGTCTTGTTTTGTTTACTAGAGAAATGTAAAAATCAAGAATTTCACATACACTCTTGGGATCCTTTGAAGGAGTCACTTCTCTTTTTCTCCCTAACATCTTTTCTTTTGTTCTTACATGACAGTAGATATTTCTCAGAACTGGAAAATACTATTACCAGGCGTTTGGACCTTTGACTTTTCATATCACCGCTTCTATTCCTAGTACTCATGTGAGAATGAAAACCAGAGATCAGTAAGGTCAACGTATGGGCTTGGAGACCCCTCTTGAGAAACGCAGAGCGAGAGGCTGTGGTGCCAGCGGTGCCGTGGAGCACACCGCTCCGCGGGCAGTGAGCTGAGTCACCTCTCAGACCCTCCAAACCAGAAAGTAACAGGAGAAAACCCGCTTCCTTTCAGCTTTTGTTGGCTCTACCTTATCTCTTTTCCTCTGCAGGCTGCTCTTCCCTCCCTTGTGCTTTTGTACATCTGCACATTAGAATATTAGGTCAAACACCCTCACTAAAAATCGCGCTGTACACTATTTTTGATTTTCATCTTTTTGCTTGATTTTCTTGTTATCTGCTGGAGACATCAACGGTGAAGTAATTTTCCCCTCAGATATTTGCCCTTTGATTGTGTCAGAGTTTACGAGAAACATTATGTCAAATGGGGCTTCCCCAGATCTTTACAAATGTTTACAGCGTGCTCAAAAGTCCCAGGAAAACAAGGCTCAGCTATTTCAGAATTATTAACAATTTTAATTATTTTTCCACTTATCGTACACTGTGTACGATTTGCTATAGAGCCTTAGGGGTCTTGTGTTTTGTTTTGATGATGGAAGTGTCACATAATGATTTAATACTGATCTGATCTTTTAGTGTTACATAAATTGCATGATTATATTGTTTACCCTGATAGTGATGGTTTGGATACTTGTGGTTGAAGCAGAGGGAGGGATTATTTGCTGTTTGCTGTGGAAACCACTTGCAATTCAATCTGTAGGCTAATCTAATTATAGTGCGAATGATAATCAGACTAGATGATGGGACTGTCTTCTATAAACATAAACCTGAATGTACCTTATGTTGTCTAATTTTAGCTAGCTACAGTGACAGGGACAGTGTATTCTGCACAGCAGATTATTGAGATTTTTATATATATATATACACACATAAAAATTATATACATATATACATAATAATTAAATATATATAATACAGTGGAAACTAAGAGGTCACAGAAATGCAAATATTGCCCTGCAAAATCTAATATAGATCTGAATTTCTCTTTTCTTGCTAAGAAATAGTTCTGTTTAATAGAAAGATCTGCTATCTCTGGCATACGATTCTGACTGCAGGCTCCTGTATGGGAGGTTGTAAAGCTGCAGGATGTAATAAGAAACCTTCACCCAGTTTACTCTCCACTAAGGGCCTAATGACACCAGCTTCAAAGCAATGTTGTCCTAACATGTCTTCAGGATGCACGAATCATTACCAGGCTTTACCTGACCTCATTGTGAAGACTTCATCCTGGCAATCTATCAGATGCATTTTTGGCACTAATAAATCAACCGCAAGCTCAATTCCAGGATGTACACGCCTGCTGAATGCTTTCCTCTGTGCTGTGGTCTTTCACACCAAATTCATATGGAGTGGTGTCATCAGGCTCCGAGTAAAGAGGGAAGCAGGAAGAGCTCATAGATTAAATTTTAGATTAAATTTTACAAGAATAAAACCTGTGTTAAACATTACGCATGGATGAGTATAGCTATCTGTGTAGTCATTTTCTGAGTTTTAATCTGTTCATCACTTAGAGTAAAAAAAAATTACAGGCTCCATCATATAAAGGGGATAGAAGTTGTTTATGTAATTAATATTCCCGTGTATCAAGGCAAACAAGGCAAACAGTCAATCACACCTATTGATGAGCAAATCTGTTCAAAAAAAAAAAAAGGGAATGCACATAAAAATAAGCTGTGAGTCCACCCTGGAGTGTGACACGAAGGGACCAGGCAGGGGTCAGGCGGCGGCTGAGTGCCCGGCAGGCACCCAACAGCCCTTGGCATAACACCACGGTCAAGGCAAATATTCCTTTCCTTGGATGAGTAAACAGGGGAATATCAGGTTGAACTAGAGGGGATGGATGACAGCGGTAATTAGGGCTCTTTGGGGAGGGCAGTGTTTAATTCCAACAAGGAAAGCTCCAACAAGGTGTTGATGAATCACAGTTTTGGAGAAGATGCATAATTATTATTTAAGGACTTGAAAAAATGGATTACAGTGAAAGCCTCAGGAGTATAACCTCTTTTATTTAAAAAAAAAAAAAAAAGGAAAAAAAAAGAAAAAAAAAAGGATGAAGAGTTATTTGAATAGATATTAGAACTATCTCTATATGGAACGCAAAGCATAAAGTAAAGCTTAGAAATTGTCAAACAAAATAGCGCCTCTGGAAAATGGAGGAGGAGAACAGGCAAAACGCAAAACCTCCTTTTATAACTGTAAACATTTTAAGTGGAATGAAGCTTTAGAACAACCTACCAACATTTGTTCTGGACTTTCCATCACTGGAAATATATATGTCCCACCTGCGTTTTGTGTTAGGTTTTATGAACTAAATGAGCACAGTGGTCTCCTCTGATTTCTAATCTATTAAGAAAAATAATTAGATCCTTTTCCAAAGTTGATTTCCATCTTTACAAGCCTACATATCCTTCACAAACCAAAAGAAGAGTCCACCATGGAAGTAAAATTAAAGCAGGATTTAAAAATTTTAGTTATTTAAACATTTCTGAAGTGTGAATTAAGTGTTTGATTCTATGTTTTCATTAGTTCAGATTTTGATATACGTAATTTTCTCAGGAGAGAGCACAAACTGGGCTTCAGCGAAGACAAGAAACCTGCTATCCCATCAGGCTTTCAGCCCTGAGACTAATCATACATAACTGTGGCAGCAGCTGGTTTTCTTACCACGCTGAAATGTTTTAATTTCAAACTGAATATCGCAGTGAGCGAACCCCACAACCCTGCCGTGCGGCACAAGGGCTGTCTCGCTTCTCTTGGACTCCAGCTAAATAGACTGAATGAGGGGTTGTATTTAATCCATTTCAAACATCTAAATGAAATATGTTTATTTGCTTCTTATACGGACTAAGACATATTTCACTTAAAGATGAGTCTAATGGAAATAGCAAGTGATTTGTCATTGGCTTCAGTGAAACCCGGGATTATACTTACGGCACACATGGGAAGATAGGCTTTCTGAAAAGAGCAGCCTGAAATCCCAATCACTTCATCATGTGAACATAATATACCTCCATATTATACACCTGCATGTTCTGAGAAAATTACATCTTAAAGGAAATTGGGCTTTTTGCTCCTACTTCTACTGTTGGAAGTCTTTCCCAGAATCGGAAATATTTTGTTTCTAAAACTTGAAACCATTACCTTCCTTTGTAACAGCTGCTGTCATGGCACAAAAAAAAAAAAAAAAAAAGTTTTGCATTTGCTTTTATGGGTGGATACACATTGTTTCCTTAAGTTCATCCAATACAGTGAGTTACGCAACAGTTTATTTTACTCAGACAATGATTTTATCAGAACTAAAATAAGAATTCCGGATAGCCAAACAATTAATCCTTCCTTATCATTCTGATCGGGCTTCAAATCACCACCAAAAGTTAAGTTTTTTCCACCTGTGAAATAATAAGCAAAGACCAATCAAACCAACTTCCACAGTAAACTTACCCGGTTTTCGCAAAAGTTGCCCAGTATCTCAACATGGACCGGCTTAAAATTTCTTCAGCTTTGGTGTAATTCACTCTTCTCTCTAGGGGCAATCCGAACACGAACTCGATCTCATAACCATGCATTACTCCCATCCACTCTGGCCAAGGGAGCTTTGAGGATCGGTGTTCAAAGAAATAAAAGAATGCGTTGTGTCCTAATTGTGCAAACTTTTTGGTGAATTCCACCGCAGGACATATGATATTGTAGTCACCAATAACATCATCCATGGCATCACGGTAATGTTCTGGCTTTTGCTCATTTTCCCAATCTGTGTACTGAAAAATGATTGATTCTATTGCAAGTTGGCTTGCTTCTGGGAAGGACACAGATAAAGCTGCTTCAAACTGTGTTTTATTGATCAAGCTATCACTATCCTTGCTGAAGCCAGGGACTCCATATACTAGAAATGCTGATCCTTCATCTTTATTAACACCGACTAAGATCTGTGTTTGTTTGAAAAGGCCATTCTCAATCAACGTTTCTGGCATGTCTGAGAGAAAATCACCATCCACAGTTGGACAGAAATATATTCGTAAAATAGAGTCATATGTTACAGCAAAAATTTCATTCTCCAGTATATCCTTTGGGTCCTTGTCTTGGAGGCAGAGAATTAGCTCTGTCTCATTGCTGGTGGGACACTGGAGTTGTTTAGCTAAAGCCAACGTTCTGTTTCTGGCTTCAGATGCTGTTACTGCAGCCCAAGGGGCATTTGCAGCTCCACTTTGCATGATGGCTCTTGTGAATAAAGGATGGCTTTTAGGAGAAAGGATATGGTAGCTGACAGAGGCGGAGCCAGCGCTCTCTCCAAATATAGTCACACTCTTCGGATTGCCTCCGAAGGCTGCTATGTTCTCCTGGACCCACTGAAGTGCCAGTCTTTGATCAAACAAACCTGCATTTCCAGGAGCTTCCTGGTTTCCTGGCAAAGCCAAAAATCCTAATGCACCAGTCCTGTAGTTCATGGAAACTACAATGACTCTTTCTACCCTGGCCAGAAACTTGCCATCATAGACCGGTAGGGAAGATGACCCAGTCTCAAAGCCACCACCATATATCCACACCATGACCGTTGCGTTCTTGGGTTTGGGAGAAGGAATCCATACATTAAGGTATAAGCAGTCTTCACTTAGGTGAGTTTTTGGATTCCACATCTCTGATCCAGGAAATCCGGGGTAAGTTGTGTCTAGAAGCTGGTAACAAGAGTTTGCGTGTTTTGTGGCATCCCAGACATCTGACCACTTCTCACGAGGTTCTGGTTTTTGAAATCTCAGTCTACCAATGGGTGGCTGTCCATAAGGTATTCCAAGGAAGGCTGTCACAGTCCCCCCCAGTACCTGCAGGTTCATCCCTCTGACTCTGCCTTTCGTGGTTGTAATGATGTTATCTTCAGCCATTACCTTCCTGATGAACATATACAGGAGAAGCCACATAAAAAATCTGGTATAGAGACTCGTACCATTTGTCCAAATCATGATATCTGAAACACAGGGAAAAAGAAATTCAGAATTAGTATTGCAATGTGTTAGTACCGGAGCCAAAATAGTTTATTCAGAAAGGGTGTAGGTCATCCCAAGGGCATTGAAAATAAGATGGTGCTGCCACCCAAAGCTCAGCAGACTTTAACCATCAGTTCTTGTTAGTTCGTTGTGTTGGAAAGGTTGTGTTTAGTGTTTGGTACAGTGCTGCAGAAAAACTGTCTAACTAAAAAAATTAAAAAAGCATAGAACTGAAGAGCCAGACCAGGGAAGGTAAAGTCATATAAGCAGACGCTGACTACTTCAGTTAGCAGATGACTTAACCACTTGCATTTCCACTGGCAGGATGAACAGGACATTTTATGATCCAAGACAGAAAACGCCATGCCCGACTAGCCGTTATTCTGTTAGAGGTTACTCTGGCAATTTGTATTCTCAAATCAATGAAGAGTGATAACAAACATCACTAGACACAGATTTTTCCACACATAAACACGCATCCCCATGAACACTGAAAAGGAACTTGAAGCCAAGTTTTAATCCAAGTATCTCCAGGTCCACGTTAAGTTTTGAACTTGTGTCACAGTAGATGCCTGGACAAAACCACTGAGGTGGCATCGCTATAAACTCCTGCTCAGATGTCTTGGGATCTGAAGGTGTTGTAACAAGTGAAGTACATGAAGAACCTCTGAGCTGGCTGTCAGTTTGTCAGCTCCTGTGGGCAACTGTGTACAGAGAGATGCAAAGACCTAAATGAAAAATTGCTTTCAAGATCTTTTTTCTCTAAAGCAACTTAACCAAGTTTATAACCATTGTGAGAAGCAGTAATACTACTACTGCTTAGAATGAAGATTAAAATGCTAAAAGGCTGAGGAATTTTTAATATATGAAGGTGGTGCTTGATAATTTAAGTATGGCCTGGAGAACTTTTCAAAGTGATCATTGATATTATAGCTAAGGGTATAGATTTTTGATTATGTGTCATATTTAAGGATACTGAAGTCCTATTTACCCCAACCATTTCAAATACTAGAAAAACTCCAGTATCTTCCCCTTGAAAGTGAAAGTCAGAAAAAAAGACTATTTGCGTAAACCCATCTCTATAGCTTACATACTTGAAAATGTAAACAAAGCTTCCTTCTATTTTCTTGCCTGTTGCGCTGTCGTACATAGTGTACTCTGTCCTGCCACTTTAAACAGGCCATTCTTTGTTAATAAGAAGCACTTGTGTCCTTAAAAGGAATGAGGCTAATTTCTGTGGAAACTACAGCTGTGGGCTCATCTGAGCTCCTCCTTCTTGTTTACATATTCTTGGAAATCAGCTAAGAATACACAGGGGGGAAAAAGAGGAAGGTTTGGGGCAGAGGTTCCTAACTTTGAGATAGCATCAAAGGAGGAGGGAAGAATCTTCAGAGGCAATATTTTTAGCATTCATCTAAAGAGAAAACAGATGAATTGAAAACATAAGCATTGATGATTTTGTCTATTAAAAAAAAAAAAAAAGATAATTTGGTGAATGGGAGCGATAGATTTCAGAGTTGGTCTAACACTCTCCACCTTCAGCTGCAAACGTCCCCACGTATGCCAAGCTTTAGAGATGTGAGCTGGACGACTCGCATGGTCCAGCAGCTCCTGGGGAGTTTGGGTAAGCAGAGGCTCTCTCCAGCAGCCTGCAGCACCCACACAGGAGGCTCACATCATTTAGTGGCATTTAACTCCCACTCCATGTGCCAGCCTTTATTTTATTTTTTTTTCCACTCATTCCTGTAAAAAAATCTTGTAAGAGCTGGGTGAGAAAAGGTATGTAAAGATTAGCTTAGGGCTGAACTCTTTCGTGCTATCTCACAGTCAACCAAGGCAACTGGGGTGGCCGTGAGAAATGTTAATAGGAGGGCTCTAGCTGGGTATTTTTGCACCCAATGCACAGCACTGTGAGATGGGAGAAGTAATTTCTCTACGTCTGTTGTTTCACTGACACCATCTCTCTTCACATACTCACTTCTAACTTGTCACCCAGGACTGAACCACAACAACAAGCTGGAAATAATAAGAGATTTCAAACATTGTCATGATGAAGAACAGAAAATAACACCAAGAACAGGGAGAGACATTAAAGTTCTTAAAGCTTTTAATATCTAAATAGTAATTAAAATTAATTCCCTTCTGTACTTTCCTGTTAATTAAAAAGGAATGGGATGGGATGGGAGGAAAACACTGCAAAACACAGAAGCATAACTTTTGACCCTGAGAAACTGCAGACGAGAATTTTAGGAAGAAAAAGACTAACAAAAAAATTGTGCCTGTACATTTTTAATTAGCCCTGCAAAAGGCCGGGTGACATTTTAAAGGAAAAGTTTGAAACAGATCAAGCTTGAAAACCACAGAAGTTTTGTACTACTGAATGTGAGGGCTTGTCTAGTCTCGAGTTACTCTGCTAATATTAACAGAAGTAGCAAGTGAGAAAGGGTTATTATCACACCTTGAATGTATGGCAAATATTGCATTTAATAAGGTTTTTAATGCTGCATTAAAGCAAACTGAACAACGTAAAGCGTACTGAGCAAAACAAACGTTGCTTGATTATTGCCGTGAGAACAAAAGGGTCAGAAGATTGCTTTAGCTCATCAACCTTAACTGAACAGCGATATATCATATAATGTATTTGCATGCTTTAAAAAGCTGCTTCTGTAGTAGTCTCCTCCAGCAAAAGTTAAACAGACTAACTTTTGTATTCTTGTTCAGCAAGGCAACCCAATTTATTTCAATGACTATTTCCTCTCCTTGCAAATCTTTGCCCAGCCAAAAAATCTATACACAAGCCTATATAATCACTGTTTAAATAGAAAAGATGGTTGAATTAATAAGTGATTTCTAGCTCAGCTTAATTTACTTAGCCCAGGATCCCTTGAATAATAGCAAGGTCTGATACACACGCCTGCTTACTCGTTCCATTTGCAGAGCAGAGTGAGTTTTCCCAAGAGAGCAACAAATGGGCAGAGCATAACATTTTAAAAGATCACAATCCCCGTGCAAATCAAGCTGAACTGTAAATTATCCTGGCAGACAGAGACGGGTAAATAGAGAATCACTTACCCCACTTCTATTACAAGAACTACAAAGTTTTTAAGAGTCAGGATCTTTGAATACTTCAGGGAAAATGCAGGATGCAGCTGCTGCTTTAAGCCTGTAAATTGGACAGTACTGACATTATAATCAACTGTTTCTGACACAAAGCTCGCGAGAGTTGGCAGCAGCAACTTGATCTGCAGGCAGCCGTTCCTTACTATCTGACATCTGCTCAAAGGCTAATGCTATAGTTGGAGAAATGCTACAGAGAGAAACCCAGTTTGGAGAAAATCAGGCATGAGCCTTTTATAGGAAAGGGAAGACGTGGTAATTTGGTTTTAGCACAGGGCAACTATTTTATAATCTAGAAAGATAAACAGAATTATAAGTATAATGAAATCAAAACCCTGCCTCTCTTTCCTTCATCTTGCTTAGATCACCGATCTCACCTGTACTTTTTTTGCTATTGTACAGCTCAAGTTTACCACCGTTTTAAAATACCTCAAACTTTTATTCTCACTGTAAGATGAGTAGTTATTATTGGGTTTAAGCAACCGTGGCAGATAAAAAAAGGAGCGTTCTCCGCACAGACATGTCAACAACTGGCAGGCATTAGTTGTATTCCTTGATTCATGGCCATCTGTAGGCTACGGCAGAAATCCGCGTAGTCCTCTTCTGATGTTGGGGTTAAAAGTGGTACCCATATGGTGTCACACGCTGCTTTCTCTCGCTTAAGCTTCAAATAGGCAGTCACCCATGCTGCTCAGCACACCTGATACCCTCCTTCTGCCTGCACCTCCTCAGCATCACTTCCACCAGAATTCAGAACTGCAGGTGCAAAGCCAGTCTAAACTGCAGGGCAGAGCCGGAGCACAGCTGGGATCACGTCCCACAGTGAGGGGGGGGGGATACTTAAATTGCAAATATTTTGAGGTACAGATAAAAGCATAATAGAGAAGAGGGGTGGAGAAGATAAATAAATAACATACACCCCCCCTTACAAAATGTCTTGTCAAACCCATATCCCTGAGCCACCAAGTGAAACCAGAAAACCACCCCTTGGGGGTGGGGCTGCATCTTCTCTCCAGCAGCATCTTCTCTCCAGCTCTGCTCTGAAAAAAAGCAACTTTTTCACAATTTAAGGTTTTCTTCTACCGAGAGCCTTCGCTTCCCCCATTAGAGCTGAAGACAATTACTTTCCCTCTGTTTAATAATCAAACTACAGCTCTGTTTCAATTACACAAAAGCAATATTTGGCAATGCATAGAACAGGAATAAAGCAGAAATAAAAAGTTAAGTATGAAGTTTATAGACCTTAACATGGAGACTACAAATGATTTTTAAAAGCTAGCATGTGAAATAGTGTTTGAATAGAGAAAAAGTCAAGAAAACATGGTCTACCTTTTACAATTTACCGTCAAGATCAGACATTCAATAGGTATATTGCAGGGACGTGTCCATTGGAGAGAATATGCCCCAGTCTAAACTTAAGCCAGGTTATAAATATAACCTGTATAAACATTTAGCATGAAAGCGTCCAATATCAGTTGGGAATTCAGAATTCTTAGCCGAGGTTGTTATCTCAGTAATGTAAATAGAAATATTTAATAACAAAACCTGATTAAGTCAGAACCAACTCTGGTGTCAATTCCTACTGATCAAAACTTTTCAAGCGCAGTTCCCTGCAGGAAGCGCTAAGTTGTGCTCTTTAAATTAAGGCAGCTTGCAGCGTTCTCTGATGTGCACGCTCACTGACGTTCTCTAGTGCCTTTTCAACCCATTTGGCAACATGGCCAGGTGACACACATTTGCTGTGACATCAAAGGGATGAGTCATAAGCCCCAAACCTTGTTAGAGGCCACTTTTAAATAAGGTATTTCTGATGCTTATGACAAATCATTGTATTCTCAACCCTCATCACTGCCCTGAGCAGTAGAGAAACAGCAGGAGACTCAAACACTAAAAATGCTGTTTCTGGCTTCATTTATTTTCCAGCATTGGCCGTGTTGCCCTGCATCTGCTGTCACCACCGCTCCCTGCCCATCTCCTCACCCCTCTCTGTACCCTTTACAGCGCCCGCAGCACCTGAAGCAGCCTCCTGCTCCAAGGCAGACACAGTTAAATGCAAAAGGCAGAGCATTTCTATGGACTCCGGCAAGGTGACTGTGGGATAAGTGAATCAGCTGTCTCCAACTGTTTCTTGGGCAGTAGGAAACACTGAGTTCAGCCTTGGAATTAACTGGATGTCTTCAGGGAAGAGGGGCATTAGGACAGACTAGACTGTTCTATTTCTCAACTATAATACTTTAGTCTAACGTTAGACTATTATGCTGTACTTTTCAAGAAAACTAAGCCCTCTTCTATATTTTTTCCTTTAATTAAAAAATTAACATATAAATTAAAGTTTCACCACTGTGTGCTGTGAGAGGAAACACTTATTTTAGTTATAACTTAGCTTAGTAAAAATACCTGAGTGAAAATTAGAGATTAAATACATTTAATGCCTCTAGTAATTCTCTGTAGAGTGGTAAGTTTCTCAGTTTTCCTTTGGGAATTTGAAAGGAAAGGAGGTACAAACCAGCAGATAGAACACAATATATATATATGTGTGTGTGTGTGTATATATATATGAGCCATTATACATAAATACATATATATATGTACACTGGTACTTTTAAATATCTCTATCCATCGATCAACTTATCTATAATGCTGGGGTTTTTCTGAGGTTATGTAAATTTTTATTTAGGGCAAGGTTCTTAAAACTCATCACCAAAGATAAAATTGTCTTTTCATTATTTAATGTGTACATATGAAACAGATGTCACACCGACATAAGAATTTTGATACGAGATGTCCAATTCTCTTAAGAAATTAAAGCAAAGGCCAGCTCTAGGAAAGATGAACATTTAGTAGGCTAAGAAGCTTAGAGAATTCAAACAATATGTATTATTGAAATAGCAAACGTTTTTGTTATGATTTAGTTCATTATTAAACTGCCCTTCAGGATATCATTACCTAAGCATATGCAGATGTTTACACTTATGATTATCCTAAATTACACACATTCTGTGTTATTTTCAGGACTTACCTAAGAGCGCTGAAAAATCTATGAGAGAGAGAACTGTTCGTAAAAAGATGTATCTGATATTTCTAGTGGAAAACACATGCTTTTCTCCCAGGGTGTCCTCTGAGCTTTCAAGGTCTACTTGTACGTGAAGAGTCCATTCACTAGGTTTGATCCTGCCCTTCCAAGCCATCTACAGCCTCAAAAAGAGCACCTGAGCTCCTGAAAGGACAGCTGGGCTGGAAAGCTCTACAAATGTCACTTAGAAGTAAAGGATATCGCATAAAAAGTGTGTGCATGTGTGAGGAAATATTTACAAGCTAATAGTGGGTAAAAGTAGGAAACATTATTATTTTTTTTAATTGCTGAGAGGAAAATCCAAAGGCAAATTTTAGCTAAACTCCCTGAAATGCCATTTGTATGACTATATGGGGAGGGTTTTTTTAAACTCCAGCCTTGCTGTGCTCCCTCGGGGGGGGGCTTGGCTGTCTCTGATCCCTGGCTGAGTTTTCACGCTGAGCATCTGTGTGACCTTGGCTCGAACCTCTGAGAAAACCGCTATGTTTTGAGAAAAAGCTGTGAGGAAAACAAGTAGACTCAAGCCGAACGAGATACAAAAGGTGAAACTGCTGACAGGGGTAAGATATCCGAGATGGGGACAGTTAGCAGCTCAAGGACTCCGAGGCAAAAACACCGAAGCTGCAAGCTGTGAAATCTTCAGGTAAAAACCACAGAGGATGGGAGCTCAGCAGCAGCAAGGAACTACTGATGCTCAGCTTTGGGGCTTTCACTGATGTTACTCTACTGTGCATATCATTGCCGTTGCTTTTGAGTATACCCTGCTTGCAGAGCATCTTTCCGTGCCCAACTACGGTGACCCTGGAAGGTTTCACCTTTCTCCTCTTTCTGTACTTCTTCTGCAAATGTCACACTTGGTGTTGCACACACCACCTGTGCATACCCATGAATGTACAGCCGGGACACCCTAATGAAACCTGGGGAGAGCTGAAGTGTTGCTAAAGGTCAGACCAGTTTGAAGTTCTGTTTTCATTGTGGTTATTCCAAGAAGCCTCTCTCCAGGAGCTTCCAGGACGAGCAGAATTTCCCACCAACATATCTGAAGGGTAATTTGATAATATTAGGAATTGTGTCTTAGATACATACCATGAAAATGGATACCAATTTATTAAGTATACAGAAGACACTAACACTCATATAAGCCATTAAGCATGATTATATTTTCCTCTTATTGGTTCAATTATGATCTGCTGTACCTTTTTCCTTATTACTCTAATTATAGGTTGATATAATTTCCTCTTTATTAGCACAATTATGGTCTGTAGTTTTATAAATTTTTTGAGAAATCAAAGCCAATGAGAAAATATAACCAGTTAAAAGATAAAGTTATTATTATTATTTCTCTTGAATGTTCACTTACTCTTAATTCCTTACGGTACTCTTATATAACTCAGTATTTTGTCTCATCTAGGGATCAGATTCAATAAAGAAAATAAAAAATGATTAATGTATACCCAGTATGTCTTGCATGACATTGTTATAGCCTGGTGTTTAGCTTGTAAGGAACCAGGCAAAATTGGAGTGTCAAGTGAAATCTTGTGTGAGCGTGATAAAGCTAATTAAATTATAAGTTATAGGTTTCACAGATTTCTGCAGAAGATTAATTAATTGACAATATAGCTGTTTTCCATTTCAGTTTCCTTTTTCTTTCCGACAGATAGTAAAGCTTTGACTGTTTAAAATGATGTAAAGCTATCTGAATAACTAGCTTGGTTGCTGGTAATCACCTATTGAAGCAGTGAGAGGTTCACAACGCCAATATATACTCTCATACCCAAACTCCATGAATAACTAAGAGGTTTGATGGATAAATGAGCTCGTTTGAATCCGTTAAGTAGAATTTGTATCTGAAAGGTGAAAATTCTTCAAATTCCTAGTTGTCCCAATTCGCACTCTTTATTTTAGGCCTTATTACTAACATCATCCTCCATCCTTCGGTTTCTACATCCACAGGAGAGATACACATCTCTAATGAAAAATGCCAGAGACGTGTTCAAAGGTTTAGCTTAAGCCACTGC